GACAGGCTGAGAGCCATGGGGCTCTTTAGCCTGCAAAAGCGCAGGCTCAGGGGTGACCTGATGGCCACCTATAAGTTTATGAGGGGTGACCACCAGGATCTGGAGAAAAGTTTGTTCACCAGAGCATCCCAAGGGATGACAAGGTCAAATGGTCATAAACTACTGCGAGACTGTTTCAGGCTGGACATAAGGATGAATTTCTTTACTGTCCGAGCCTTCAAGGTCTGGAACAGCCTGCCATTGGAGGTGGTTCAAGCACCTACATTGAACATCTTCAAGAGCAAATTGGATGCTTATCTTGCTGGGATCCTATGACCCCAGCTGACTTCCTGCCCTTTGGGCGGGAGGCTGGACTCAATCTTCCGAGGTCCCTTCCAGCCCAAATGTCTATGAAATCTATGAAAAGTTAAACCAGAGTCCCTCAGCATCCCAGCTGTTTTGCAGCCCTGAGCTGGGCTAGGCCGTGCTCTCTACTGCAGAGAACAGGGCTGCCCAGCCTCTCTCCTCCCTAGCCAGAGCTCCAGGGGAGATCACAGACACAGCAGGGTCTGCCTTGCTTCCCTCGCTGCTGAAGCAGGAATTCCCTCCTCCCTCCCCTCTCCCACAGCATAGACCCCAGCCCTACAGACCCTAGGCATGTGGTATGCCAGCTAATGCTGAGAAGTGTGCGTGTGTGTCCCCAATTTCACTGGGACAGGCAGACAGAACAGTGTCCACTTAGGGCTTTTTGGAGCTTATCAACAGGTCAGCTGGCAATGTCCCTCAGTTGCTTCCTTAGAAAAAGCTGTTTAAGAGGAGCTTGAAAAATGAGAGAGGTTTTGTTTTGCTGATGGGCTGATCAACACTGTGATTTTATCAGCCCCCTGCTGGTTTGCAGTCCTATCAGGTTTGCAGACAGGAAAATGGAGATTGAAAAGCTCAGTATCATCAACAGATGCATGCACTGCACACCCCTCCCCATTGCCTCAGAGTGCCAGTCTGGGCCTGGGGTCTGACAACACTCCTGCCCCCTGAGAAGTGAGTGGGGGTGGGAGCCTGGGTCTGTGCAGGCCAGGGTGGGGTTTTAAACCCCTCCCTAATTAACCCATCCTGCCTGGGCCTGGCCATGCCCCCCTCAGCTCAGCACTACTGAAGGAAAGGGAGAGCTGCTGTAGCACCCCCCTCCCGGCTTCTAGCCTGAGCCACTGCAGGCATGTGCCTACATTTCTGGAATGAAAAAGGAATATTTATCCACCTTCAAATCAATTCAAGCTTTGCAGGTTAGAGTAACCTGCAAAGATAGAATCAATTTAGGCAGGCTTTTTGAATGTCTGTCCCTAGCCCTAGGGTCAGAAAAGGTGGGGATAGTCCTGAATCCCCTACTTTAGTACCTTTGCTGCTAGAGGTCAAAAATCAACTTTCGAGCCAGTGAACTAGTCCCCTGTGCTCCTCCATTGCCAGGGACATATGTAACAGAAAGGATGCACAGCTACAACATGCCGATCTTAAATCCCCAAAGTCTGTTCTGATAATGATGACAGCCCTGCGGCTGATCTACTTTATGGCTGAAACTGGCTCATAGGCTAACAGGCCCCAGCCTCAGAAAAGAGAAAGCAGCAGCCTAGTATCATCTTTGACCTTCCATCTTCTGCGTTGTATTAGCCACAGGTTGGATGCAGCCCAGGATTGTTTGCATAGCTATTACAGACTATTAATCATTCAATACCAATAATAACTGTACTTTTTACCCAAACTGGTTTAATCATTTAGTTTCAAGGTTAGAGATTAATTCTATTTAAACAGATTGCATTATTCACCACAGGGGGAAAAAAAAAAAAATCAATGAGCTTAAAAAATTACATGTATTTTTTTGAAAGCCAGATAGAGGAGGTCTCATAATTCCTTTGGTTAAACAGATCTTTACCAACTTCTTTTGCCAGCATGTCTCAAATGATTGCTTAAACCCACTGTCAATCATAAGTACAGGTGTTGTGTACATTAGTTATCATGAGAAAGTCAGAACATTGGCAGTGCAGAGGAAGGATCATTTGACAGGTTATTCCTAAATTTATTTTGCACTGACACACACTGTCAGACCCACTTGGCTCCATTTCCAATCAGCTTCTTTTTTCCCCTGAGATGATGATAACAATCTCACTTTCTCCCTGACTCTCTTCTCCAACCAAGTTATGCTTTTAAGACATTTACCATATATTTTTGTTTGGCTCTGTCAAAAGATTGAAAAAACTGTAAGTGGTGGTATTTAAATTAATTAAATCTGAATTTTGGCTCAGTTCCAAATGAAGAGTTGCCTGTCATAAAAAAACCTATCAATCTTCAAAAAGGAATACAACAATAGGCTTCTTTTACACATACTTAATGGCTGAAGGTGAAGCAGGGTGGCATTTTAGGGACTAATTGGTTCAGAGGGGTATGAGCTTTTCTAGCAAACCGCCCACTTCCTCATATGCTCATCACAAAATCATAGCATCTATTCATATCATTGGATGAAGTAGGCTGTTGCCTACAAAAGCTCATGACACTCCAAACTGGGTAGTCCATAAGGTGCCACCCTGCCCTGCCTTTTGACTGATTTTTGACTAATATGGATAACTACCTCTTTCCATCCTGAATCATAGTATCAGAAGAGAAGTTAAGGACTGAATGGATACAAAGACAAAACTTCTTTGCTTAATTGCCCTTACTGAAGTCTACCACATCCAAAAAGAGGTAAAATTGATGGAGCGTTCTGAAGAAAATTGTATTGCCATCTGTACTACTCTACAACTATTTGGGAATAAAAGGAGAACTTCAGTCTCGAGGCCAGTCAATCCACTACTTCTCCTTTTAGTCCAAGAAAACACTCATCCTAAAAAATTAATCTATTTCAATAAGATTAATTAGCGCACTTCCGCCAGCTCTGCTGTTTTGGTGTTATTGGACCCACTTACTCTTGTAAGGTTCCATAAAAAAAAAAAAATCCCAAATATTTACAAGCCATTTACACAGAAGAGGAAAAGTTATTTGCCTGTGCGGCCTAATGGCATTGTGGGGAAGTGATACAAGGCCACGTCCATACAGCCTCAGCCTGGAGCTGTTGCCAAGAAACAAGTCCCTGCATTCACAGGCTCTCTCGAGATAGGTAGAGCAAACAGCTCTGACCACATGACTTAGTGTTATCTAACTAGCAAGCTCAGAGGTGGGTAAGGGAGGGGACCCCCTCCTCCCGGTGCCCAGTGGCAGCCCTGGGCTCAACAGGAAGGTAGCAAAAACATGGCTAAAGGCCCTTTACTCAAAGTTTCCATTGAAAGTGTTAGTATTTATATATCCTTTTATTTCAAGCCACTGAATTTTCTTTTCTAGGCCAACAAATTACTTCATGTCATTAAACACTGTTTAGTATCAGGAGTCGCAACGTTCACATCCTACTTGCAGAGCCCAGGCTCCTCCGGACATCAAGAGGAGGTGCACGTGCAAAGAGCTGGAACGCTTGGTCTGATCCCTGCTTTGTAAGGCAGCAGTATCTCAGGAATGAACAATGGAGCTGGTTGGGACATGGAGATTTTTTTTCCTCCAAAACATTTTATTTGCGATTAAAGAACTGAAAACTAAAAAGAAGAAAAAAAAAAAAAAAGAAACAAGCCCAAAACCACATTTTCCAGAAAAAAATATATACATATTTTTTTTTTTTTAAATCTCTCCCTGTCTGTCTTACACACATACGCACACACTTAAAATGAAAGTATAATTTCCCTTTCAAAATCAGAGTTGTGACAGAAAATGTTTTACCAGCCCTAAGAAATATGACAAGAGTCTCCATGGAAAGACCCTTTTTTTGTTGTCTGACCTGCTAGTGGAACAAAACTGAAATTAAAACAATGAAACTAAGCATCCTGTCAGTGCCATAGCAATGAAGTTTGGCACCTGGGACAAAGCCTGCAGCGGCAGCCCACCCTTGCCCTGCACACAGGTCCAAGGGGCACATGCTCCCCCCCCAGGCCTGCCCGGGAGTGTGTGCAGTGGCAGGAGCCGCCCTTCCCCTGTCCCTGCGCCCCTTCAAATGAGTGGCCCCGTCCCGTGCCCCTCCCCAGCAAGTCAGTGCCTGTTGCCCTTCGCTTCGGCACCCAGGGCAGTTGCCCCAGTTGCGCCCCCCCTGGCTATAGCACCGGGTTTTGTTATGCATGACTCTTACCATATGCTTATTTTAATGGGTATAAACATTAGGGCATGCTTTAACCAGTCACATGTTAAGAGTTAATCTTCTATGTAGTCTCCCAATGCCTGAAGAAGGGTGTTTGTGCCTGAAAGCTTGCAAAGAACTTTTTCCCAACTATTTAGCTGGTCTAATAAAAGACATCACATCTATCCAAAGAATCTTGCCTATCCCGTAACCTGCACTGCCATTAGAGAGCTGGCAAGCAGAGGTGTTGCTAGGAGCCAAGCTGGCTCTGTACTTGCCCAGCTCTCCTACTCCTAGGGTGGCCCAGATTGTGGGCAGCTGGGGGCTGGCAGGGTCCCATCAGGCCTGCCTGAAATCTGGATCCCCACTGCCTCCTACCACCTGGATCGAGCCCACCGCCCCCCTCCTGCCAGCCCAGATTGGGTCTGCCATTGACCCCTCAACTTCCTCGTCCCATCCCCCCCAGAGCTCCCTGCCTGCTGCCTGGAGTTCCTCTGCTGTCCCCCACCTCAACCCTTGCAGCTCACCCCCACCTCTTGGGCCTCCAGCTCACCTGCAGTTCCTGGTGCTGTCCCAGATGAGCAAGCAGCAAAGAGGAACCTGCCCACTGCTGTCACCACTGCTGCCAGACTGAACCCAGCCCAGAGAGTGGTGGCAGCAGCAGTGATGGGCAGGTTCCTCTTCCATGATTGCTGGTGGGTTTGACTCGGGGGTGCAGGCGGGGGACACAGCAGGCCCCATGCAAGGGGGATTGCTGCCTGACCTCTCCCACCCATGGATCAAGACCACCCCACCCCACCCCACACCTCAGATCCCTGCTCACTGACCCTTCCCCTCCCCGCAGCTCCTGGCTAACCTGCCACTCTTAGAAGAGCAAACAAGGAACAGGAACCTACCCACTGCTGCTTCCACAGCCCTCTGGGCTGGACTCAGCTCAAAGAGCTGCTGTGCTTCAGCAGCCACAGGAAGATTCCCCTTTCCTGCTTGCTCTGCCAGGACAGTGCCAGGAGCTGTAGTGAGCCACAAAGGGCCAAAGGAGCAGAAGGGGAGCACCAGGGCAAGGGGGATGGGGAGGCAAGGAAATCCTGAGGGGCAGGGAAGGAGCCCCAATGAGGGGGAAAAAGGGGGAGCCCCAGGGGCAGGAGAGATGGGATGGGGGGAGCCCGGGGGACTGGGAAGTGCCCAGAATGGGAGAAGAGTGGGGGATTCTTTCTTACCCAGCTGCCTCTGTGGGAAAGATAGAGTAGCTGAGAACAATGCCTCCTGGGATGTTGGAGGACTGCTCCCAACTGTTTTGGAGCCAGCTGAGCAGTCACATATGACTACAACATGAGCTACCTAAAACCAGTTAGAGAATCTGCAATGGAAGAGGATTCTCTCTGAACCACTCAGCCGGCCATAGCACATTTCCTGCCCTAATGTGTAGACACTAAGTACATTCAGTTCCATAGCTTTCCTCCCCCTTACCCTCAAAACCTAGAATTTAGCCCATGATCTGAGCTCACCTCTTATTTTCAGACTGTCTTAATTTTAAGGTGAACTTGGATCAGATCTCAAGGGAACTTCTTTTTCCAAGTATGTTACGAGATGTTTTGAGTAGAGACAAGACTGAAAGGATCTCCATGATTCAGATCCAGAACTGGATTCATCTGCACTACGTTGAGTTTGGCAGTTAAACAGATCAAAATTAAAGTAAAACCTAAGTATGTCAACTTATCTAAACAAAGTGAAAAGGAGACAGACAGAGGAATATCATCTGTCTATGACTGGAAACTTCTTCACTCCAAAGAGCTTCACTTAGCATTGCCTGTACTTTCAAAGAAGAATCGTAAGAGAAACACAGTTGATCAAGAGTACACACTATGCTAGCAATGATGAGGCACTTTCTCACTCTGTCATTTTTACAAGCACAAATTCTCAACCTGGAAATACCAAGATGCTGAACTTGGGAACCTAACCTTTTTCTTCTCTGATTCAGTCTTCTGGCGGGAGACAAGTGATATAATACAGCTGGGTGACCCTAACACTTTCTGCTCTTTGCAATTAAGATACCGAGGGACTGATTTGGCATTCTTTGCTTTTATTTCTTCTGAACAACTTCACTGCAAACTGTCTGTGTGCTCTTCCATTGCTGACAATGCTACTAGGAAAAGAGAACAGTATTTTTGCCTCTTATCACCATTGCACTTGGATTAGGTTTTAAATGTGTCCCAGATTACATAATATCTCAGTCTGGACCACCACAGACTGTAGGGAAAGTGACTAGAAGGTCAGACTCAGGGAAAAAACAAATATATTTTACTGTCCACAAGACTTGAATACTAAGAAAGAAGATTTCTATCCTATTTTGGATCTGGTGTTGCAGGATACATAAAGCAGGGATTCAGATAGACCTTTTAATTCACCCACCCTTCTGAACATGTAGGGGAGGAAAAATACCAAACTCTCACAGTATTTCAAGTATTTATTTAAAAGGTAGGTTTTTCCCACTTTCGCCAGGCTTCAGACCAAAGTAGTTAAAATATATGCTCATTATTGAACTAAACTGTTTTATAAATGTAAAGATAAACAAACTGCTTACTAGCCCAAATCCTGTACCATAGCCTCTTTCCACTAAGCTGCTCCCAAAAAGTAGCCCTGAACCTAGTACATAATGGTGCCTCCATAGCAGGTAGCCAATGTTGCAGGTCTTAAACTATCCTCTCCTCTCCTCTCCTCTCCTCTCTGGGGAAAGCGTGAACAGGAAAAAGGGGATATAGCCAAGTCTTTTCTAAACGTAACAGTCCCTGACTGCTGCATCAGCCCCAAGTGCCAGACATAGATTAAATAGATCACAAATCACTCTAATTAATGAAGGGAACGTGCCTACTCAGCAAACCCAAGTTCCAGGATCTCAGGTAAGGAAAATAAAGATGGCTTGAAGCCTTCCTCACTACCTCCCTACTGTGTTATATATACAAACTTCCTGGGCTGTAAATTGAGGATCTGGTACTTAAACTGGAAAATAAGCTTTTACTATTATAATTAGCTATTTTCTGTGTTACAGAAACAACAAGAGGCTTCACTATGCTCACATACAATGAAAAGACAGTCTTCAATGAACTTATCAACCTAACTAAGCAGCCAGAGGCAACAAGCAGGTGAGGGAAGCACAAGGTTCACAGGTGTAAAAACCAGACGGGAGTATTGCAATTGGCTTGTCTGACCACTTGAATGACAAGCCATAGACTTCTACCCAGTAATTCCTGCAAAGTAACAAGACAAATTCTGATCAGTGCAATAAGTAGAGTAACAGTCACAGAACAGCGACTGCCTAGCTATTGTGAGGAATACTGTAAACGTGGTAATGCTGATGAGTTAAGAAGGGATATGAAGGAGAAAGACGTATCTAACATTTTCCTACATCATAACGCCTTGTTACTGTATAAAACCTTGTTAGCACAGATTAATCTTTTTACTACAGTGGCTAACTGGAGCTTTACTTCTTACAGATGTCTCAGGTTAACAAGAAATAAGTCAGAAATAATAAAAGTCAAGGAAAATCACCCCAAACTTCCATTCCGTACAGATATCATTAAAGAAAAAAAACATTTAAACTGAGAGCAACTTCTGAGCTTAATTGCAGAATCACCATGTAGCCAAGGAAGTTTGCATCTCCTAGTCTCATGGCCCATCTGCGGGAAGCTCAGTTTCAGCCCCAGCACAGAGCTGCTTCTCCCAGAATCTGTGCTCTAACTATAGAGCAGCTGTGGTAGTTTCAGCCCTAGTACAAAGGCCAGGAGAAGCAGCCTCCCTCCTCCAGGCTCTGTGCTTGGGCTGAAACTGAGGTGCTGCTAGACAATGAGAGTGATTTAACAGCTGCTGGACCCTGGAACTGGGGGAAGCATATTTTTCCCTGCCCTAGGGTCTCACCCCCTGGGCCAGGACAGCTCCCCTTTCCCAGCCAGTGGGACCCTTATTGCCCCTAACCTAACTCCCCCCTCCAACCTGATCCCAATTCACATGCAAGTTTTTAGTCCTTCAATTTTTTGTTAATCTTTTTTCCCCTTCTTTCCCTTTATTCTCCCCCCAGCCCTTCCCTCATTTCAAATAGTTTTTTCAAGATTCTTTTCCAGCCTGTGCTTCTTTTGTTTGGGATACAGTAATTAGTTGATAAGACACAGAAAAGCTAAATCAGAGGTTACAATGACTCCCATAGCTTATGAATGTGAACGTATTGCCAGCCAAAGTTAGTTAGAGTGGTGTATAAGCTATAAGGACTTTACACCAACCTCTGAAATATCAGGCAATGGCTACTGGCTGGGATAGGAAAGGAGACTATAGGGACTATTTATGCGTTCTGGTAAGGCAAGTCTTGATAGCTAACACATAAACAGATGCAGGAATTAGATGAGCTCAGAATTACTTAGGAATATGGCTAAAGGAAGTTGGTACAGACTTAATTAGGATAGATAATGTCAGAGGAATAGACTTCTGACATAAGATAATGTCTCCTGGTGGTGTATAAATGTCAAGACATTCGTGGAACGCAAGTGTTGCAGTGAAACAAATCACTATATTTTCATTATACCAAATGATTGATGTAGATGCAAATGTCACCATATGTCTAAAGATGTTTTGTGCAGAGGGACAGAAATGACTCCGTAGCAATAATGTACCAGAGCTCCTATGCATGTCTACAACAAACTGTTCAATTTGGTGTCATAAGCCTTGCAAGCCCTAGGAACACCTACAGAGCTTTAGCCTTCCACACAAATGGAAAAGTCCTGGCTTTTGCAAGAGGGAGATTTGGATACATCTTCATTCTTGTGATGTTCCAGTTGATTATTAGAACTCTGTAGGCACGCTCTAGACCCAGATACTCACTGTGCCCAACCACGATGCCTCCTCTCACGCACACAGTATTTGGTGGGCCTGAGAAAATGAGGGACGGATGATTTCAGAGCAGGCTTACTGGTAAACTTCCTGGACTGAACTATAACTGTGGATTCAAATGGACCATTTAAGCTTGTCCCAGTCTTCCTGGGGACCCACCATTTTCAGCAGTATAAACAAAACCAGAGTTATAAGTGTGAAACTATGAGATTGATTTGTACAAATCAACATTGTAACAAACTTCCCATAAGAAAACCAAGCTAGATTAGGCCCTGGTGCTGTGTTCCATCCCATTAGATGCCCACTTAACAAGAAATCTTTAGGTTTCTTTCAAAGTGTACTCTACATTTTGGCCATTTTAAGAAGTTTAATTGTAAATTATATTGACTTTTTTCAAGCACTTGAATACCACAGCAATGTGTCATTAGGAATGCAAATGAATCCATAGATAATGGATGAATAAATGTCAGTTGAAGAGGTACAGAATATCATCTAACAAGTCGTAGAACTTTTCCTCTTTTGAGTTTTGTTCTTACTATTCCCAACCAATAATAGCATGTTGTTTAGCTTTCTGGTTGTCTGCCTCAAGCTTCATCTACGCTATGTATTTATGATGATTAAATAAATGTAACCCTGAACACAACACTACTCCTGCCTTCACTGAATAGTGGGATCCTGGGGTATCTGGTAGCCAATGGCCGCGCTCAGCTCCCTGGGTAGCTGCTGCAGAGTGCCTGAGCGGAGAGCCTCCCCTTACAATCAAACAACCTTGCAGACCATTATAAAACTATTTACAGGATTTAATTATTTACAAGGTAACATATAACCAATACAATAAAACAAATGTTACACCACATGACCTGGTGATGGTGGCTTAAGGGTTAATGCTTCTTGGATACACATTACACTAGAGGAAGGTATACAAGTTACCCACCATAAATAAAGAACCAGTACATAAATACACTGATACTTCAACTAATAAACCATCAAGAACTTATTTACACAATATAACTTTTACAGTGTGTACTGAGGACCCTGTGTGCACAGCCCCTGGTGGGGTGTCTCAGGGAGCAGGACTGTGTCTGTGCCCCTGCACAGGATCTTGGGCAGTACCTGGTGCTGGCATCCCTTGCACGAGCTCCAGGGGTCTGGGTGCAGCAGGCAGTGGCTCCTCCCCTGCAGTCCCTGCAAGAGAGCTTATTGCTGCCCAGACCCCTTCCCTGGCTCAGCAGGGAACAGTGTCTGGGCTACAGGCTGTAACAGTTTCCCCTGCCCAGCACAGCCTGACCGCACCTGGCAAATGCAGCCCCTCCCTGGGCCCTGCCTGCCCTGGGGCTTCTGGTGGCTGAAGCACCCCCTGCCCCTCTAGCCCAGGCTCTTTCGGGCACCCTGAGCCTGCCCCTCCCCTGCTGTGCTCACCCAGCCGCATGGGGGCTTGCACGAGGGCCTTCCCAGGCTCAGAGTCTCCTCACAGGCAGCTCCTCTCTCATCCTGCCCCACACGGCTCCCAGGGGAAAGGAGGGAGAGTGGACACAGTGTAGCACTCTCCCTGCAGCCTCTGCACCTACTTCTGCAGGGCTCTGCCAGGGGCTGTCAGGAGACCTTTCCCTAGTCTCCAGCCTGCCTCTCATCCCCCCCCCCCTTCTTTTTTCCCCCTGGAAAAACTGCTCCCCTCTTTTAACCAAGCCTCTAGGTCAATCCCAAGCCAAGACTCTTCCCCAGCTTTTGCTAATGTCTCTCATTCAAGGCCTGCTGGGGTTACATTACTCCTCCCACTTCCAAGAGGGCTACCTCCAAAACAGCTTCACTCACCCTCAGGGACAACAGTGCCCCTACCGGGACAAACTCCGTCTCTTCACACTGTCCCTCTGCAGGGCAGCCCTTCCTATTCCTTCAGGCGGGTCCCTTTTTAATGCTACTGCATAGATATTAACAGTCCCTTTGCTTCCAAATGGAGTCCTGCTCCTGCCTTTTCCGCTTAGGAAGGCTCCATAACGTTTACCTATTGGACAATTGCCAATAGGGAGCAATGGAGTTAATACTGCAAGATGCTGAATTCAGTCTTCCCCTCCCAGTGATTTTAGTGTGGGTATGAGTAAGGTCTTTTATACTGAACGTGCCAGTTACATGATGACTTAGGCTGATTTTTAGTTTTCTCAAAGTCAATGATCCTGCTTCCAGAGTCTTAACTGGGGTAATTCTGAAAATGTGAACTTATACATAAAACACACTCCAGACATTTTATACCTGCTGTGAATCCAGCAAATCAAATAAGTCCAAAAAGGGTAGAATGTGCCTTTATTTCAGTCATTAAGCTGTTCATCATAATTGAGCTATAGCAAATTAATCCAATCCTGACGGTGTCAATGGGAATGGTGAAATATAGCTTTAAGAAAACACCCAAGGCTCCACATCATTCCAGATCCATTCAAGTGAAAAGGCATTGAGTTTACATGATAAAGTAATAAATGAGTTCACAGTATAAGTAATAAATGAGTGATTAAAAATGAGGTGATGGTTTTAATTTAGGAAATGACAGATTATATGGGGAAACATTGCTATGTAGACATATTAAAACAGACTCTGAGCGGTATTAGTCAAACTTTCTTTTTCCTTCTAGATATTAAAGACATTCATTCCTTTAGCAAAGCAATATTTCCAACAGTGCTTCACACTGTGGAGTAACTATACAGTACATGCATCTATTTTAATGAAAAGGAATTGAATAGAAGCATTAAAGTGAGGTTTAGAGGCATTGTCAAGTTTCTTTGCTCTCCAATAGGGGCTATGATAATTTTGTTGCACTGCCAACTTAAAATGTATGTTATTATTTTTAAGGTCTATTATCAGATACAGAACCCTTTACATATCATGTTCTGAATTTTGCTCTTAATACTCTTTAAAAAAAATCTAGTGGCTTCCCCCCAACCCTTCTGTTTTTGATGCATCTATTGGTCAGAACAGTGGGCAATCATGCTGCCTCTTCCTAATCTACCCCTTTTCTCTAGATGCATACTTACCTCTACAGTTTCAGGTTGGCAGTCTGTCATAAAACATGGCTGCAGTGCCTGAGTATAATCATGCCCATGAGCTGTGCATGTAAGAGTTGCAAATGACTATTAACCAAACACTGAAATGGGCTCTGTACACTATGCCATTAGATGCACAAACTAAACTGGAAAAGCATGTTTCCAGTTTCGTTTACTTGTAATATCCTCAGAAGTATAGATGATCCTGTCCTGGGACAAGCAGCTAGATTATATGACCCCTTTTAGCTCTGTTTTCTGTGATTTCCTGTGGTTACTTATAAGTACACTTATATTTCAGTAAGTATGTAAGTATATTCATAAGTACTTATATACATGTAAGTAAGTATAATTAGAAGCAAGTATATTTAGATTTAGATTCACATTTTTAAGGTAGAGAAGTGATTTTCCAGTTCACATTTTCAAGTTCCAAACATACTTTCTAAATGAACAGAGGAAGACATTCAATCACATTTGAGTACTGAGGCCCGCATGTTCGTGATGTGGTCATCAGCCCATCCAGGAGCAAGAGAGGCTGTCATAGGAAAGTGTAAAAAATTGGCCAGTGGCATAGTGGAAGTTAGCTGGAGAAGAGAGAAAGAGAGAGAGGATTTGGCAATTTGTTTAAAAAAAAATAAAATCTGATGGATTTAAAGGATTAATTAGCAGATATTTCATTTTCAGGTGACAAAAGAATGACTGCAGGAAGTGTAAAGAAAGATCAGACAAAATGCTAAAGAGTTTCAGAATCTAATAGTTATTGGTATCCTCATGATTAGATACTTTTATCCAGGTAAGACTGTGTAACTAAGGTCTTGATTTTTGCTCAGTGTGCGGACTGGTTTTTCTGAAGACGACTAGGTTATTCAGCAAGCTAGCTCTCAGAGAAACTTGAAATCAGTAGAATATTTAGTTAAAGAATAAATGATCGTGAACTGGAAATGCTGATTATCCCCCAACTCTCAGAGAGTGCCACATAGTCTCTCATTCTTATCTATATGGTAGCCAGAGCTAGAAAGGATCTCTTACATGGATGTTTTATCCAAGGGACATATGGTACGGTGGTACCCATTTGCTAGTACTTCATTGTAACACTTAGAACATCACACATTACACTGTCAGGAAATGACATGGATCAAAGGCCTGAGGTCTAATTTTGCTCATTAGGTCTTAAATCCCTATATATGGGACAAAGTGAAAACCTTAAGGGCAGCTATAATCCTGGTCATTTATAGACATTACAATTTTCTAGGTTTAATTCAGACTACAACCATCACTATATAATACATGGATGTCTGTAGTCTGAATTAAAATTAGCTTCAATCCAAATCAACTAATCCTCATTGAATGAGGATTAAAAATAATGCAGACTAGGGCAGTCTGAACTAGGCGATTTAAACTGTATTAATTAGCATATATATACAAGTATCTAGGGCAGTGGTCAGCAACCCCCAGCACGTGTGCTGAGCATGCGACGTGATGCCATTTTGCTTGGCATGCCACCGCCAGCCTGGGCTCTAGGCAGCTGCTGCCAGCCATGAAGTCCAGGCTGCTCGCAGCAGGCGGCTGGGCGTCTGCAAGCCCTGCCATGGTTGGCAGCAGCTACCCAGAACCTGTGCTGGCTGCAGCCAGGAGGCTGCAAACATCTACACCAGGCTCCGGCAGTAGCTCCATACTGGTGGGTGCACACATGCCTCAGAGCGGACTTTGTCCAGTAGCCCAGGAACCCAGCTCTGTGCGCCCACACATCTAGTTCTGTGCATTTGTCTGCTTCTGTCTGGTCCTTTGTGTCTGCGTGTGCACACGTGTCTGGTTCGGGATGTGTGCGCCTGTGTCTATTATGGGTGTGTTCTGTTTCTCTGTGTGCATGTGTGTGTGTCTGGTTCTCTTTCTGCTCTCCTTTCTCTCTCTCCCCCTCCTCTTTCTCTTATTTGTCTCTTTTTTCTCTGTCATTGCAACATGCTCAATAAAAAAGGAATACACAACAAAGGCAACATTTATGATTATTAAATATACCAATATGCAGTGCATCTTGCCATGTGCACCTGCCCACCTCCCCCACCTTCATTTTGTTTTTCTGCCATGCCG